GTTGGTTGTAAATTCGAAACCCAGCCCATATGGGAAGGCAAATATATGGTACACTTAAGAAAAAAGCAGGACACACTTTTGTTCCATATTTGCCTGTTGAAAAACAATTATAAGATGTATGAGAATTTGTAAGCTATGTTGCAGAAGAGTTAAAAAATATCCTATGTAATAGCAAACCGGAAGCAGCTATGGTAATGTAAACATAAAATATTAGAAATAGCTGTTAAAGCAACACACAAGTCTTGTTGAAAATAAGTGTGCTCGATAGCAGTAGAGTCACAGGTGTTAAGAGAGCCTATCAGCCATTTTGGAAATTAGGGGGTTTTTGAGGGGACAGGAAACTACCTCAGTCACTCTGTACTAGGTAATCCTATAGAATGGGACAGCTTTGAAACCTCTTAATGGAACCTGCTTCAAATAGACACATACTTTAAAAAAAAAAAATGGAAAAAAGGAGCGTATCCATTTTTTAAGATCCGATATTGCATTTGTTTTCCAAAGTCCTGATTTCTCCTACAGGCCTGTACTAATATTTGAGGACAAAACATAACTTCAGAGCTATCCTCAGCCCCGGTAAATCAGGAAAAACTGTGTCTTTTACACTGACTACGCTCTTGTGTCAGAAAGGACAGCAGAAGGCATGCTCTTGAGAACAAGTTCCTCTGCCTTAGAGGAAAGAGGAAGAGATATTGTCGCATTAAATGTGCTGTTTTCTCTGTGGTGTGTGTGTATCTACAAAGGAAGAAACTGGACTGGCCCCAGGCTGCACCACGAATATTCCTCCTCTGTCATAAAAAGCAGGGCCACAGTGAGCTTTTCTAAAGCTGACTACAGGATTTTGACACAGGAACATTTTTCTCAGTTGGACACTTGTCAACTTGGCATCAATTTAAGCTTTGCTAAAAGGAAATCTTTAATTGAGGGGAATGGAACTCTTAAAGGACCACCTGCCAGTAACAATCAGGTAAAATTTTTTATTACAATTCTCAACCTCTAGCAGCACAGCTATGCGCTGATTTATGTTAGAAATCTAGAAATGTTAAATTTATTTTGAAAACGTAGTAACTTCCAGATTTCACTTTTAAAGGTGATTTAGATGCCTCTTGTAAGCTGCTTGAAAGTCCGGCTGTTAAGTAAATTGGAAATTTTACGTAAAATAAGATTTATATTTTTATGATACTAAGAGACAGTTATTGTCTCATTGCTTAAATTAAACCTAGTTTGGATGAAAGCCTTATGGGTATAGCAAAATACAATACTTTTATTTTTTTTCCTTCAGAGCAGTGTAAATTGAAAGGGTTTTTTTTCTCCTGGTCTTGGTCTTCCCTTCCTCATATTTAAATTTAAAAATATCTTGCATCTCTACTGATATGCCTAAAATTCCTCTTTCATATTACAGAAAGGAACCAATACTGCCGTAAAATATAGATAGCCTAATGCTGAATTTAGAAAAAGTTTCATAGGAAGAAGTTAGTTATATAAATGATGTCCTTACCCACAATGTTTCCAGGCATAAAGACAATGATGCTCATGATAATGGAACCTAGCCAGTAGAGGCCAATGGTTCTATAGCTTTGTCTGTTTGAAAAAGAAAACAAGACATAATTATTGCACCGTCCCTAGAAATCCTCTACCCCAAATAAGGCCAAAGACATGAAACAGTCCTAAAAGAAAAACCCAAATACTGCGTAGGAAAGAAAGCCCTTTGTAGGTTATATGAGAACGCAAGCAAAGTAAACGGTACACACATCAAATGACTTACTCCCATGCAATAGCTGCCACCATCAATAGATACATCAGGTAATGAACGGAGCCATCCCAATAGCAGATCACATGGCCATACGCAGTGTTCAGATATGGTTCACCCTAGGGAACATTTATTTTAAAAAGATGCAGTGATTAGAGAAATAATAACAAATAATTAATAAAGAACAGCAGGAAACAGTTCAGAAAAGTAACGGATGTTCTTTCAGTCTGGAGGTATGGTTTTTGACTGACAACACACATTTCCAAGCACAAATCTGATTTAGGTAGGGTCAGGTATAATTAAATCAGTTCTATAGTCGCAAAATAGGGTGCAAGATGGAAGGGGAAACTCCTATGTGTGACTGTCAGCATTGTTCTACTGCATTATGGAAATACCACTTTTCCATATTTTAGTGATAAAAGCTACAAAATAAAGATACATTTAACATGGAACAAATAAAGATATATTTAGCAACCTAGAGATATACAACAGCATTGAATATATTTATGACAATGTATAACCTTGTAAGGTCCAACCCATTTCACGCTGAAGTTCATGGAATCTTTTCAATGACTTCAGTGACTTTGATATCAAGCTCTTACTGAGCTATTTTTGGTCGATGTTGATATTCAGCAGCCAACAGATTCTGCTGACTAGGTATCTGGCATCATCATTTTTTAACTCTACTTTAATTCCTTTCAGTAAAGTGATTAGGCAAAAATAGAGGAGCAATTTTGTTTCCTTCTTGGTAACACATTTGGGTACTGCAGTACTCATCCACTCCCGAGTGCCGAGTACCTATGGCTTTCTGCAAACGAGTGCAGCCTATTCAATTCCCACAGACATTAGTACAGAACAGTATTACTTACACTAAGTGAAAAAACATTGGTGCTTGAAAGGTATGCTGTTTTCCCCAAATGAGTCAGTCATTTCGAGTCAGTGAAAGTTTTGTCCATAATAATAATGAAACAGGTCAATGACCAAATTCAAGATGACCCTTTTGAATGTGTAAGTGGCTATTTTTCTGTGACAAATACTATACCAAGTTATATTTATGTTAGAAATCTAGAAATGTTAAATTTATTTTGAAAACGTAGTAACTTCCAGATTTCACTTTTAAAGGTGATTTAGATGCCTCTTGTAAGCTGCTTGAAAGTCCGGCTGTTAAGTAAATTGGAAATTTTACGTAAAATAAGATTTATATTTTTATGATACTAAGAGACAGTTATTGTCTCATTGCTTAAATTAAACCTAGTTTGGATGAAAGCCTTATGGGTATAGCAAAATACAATACTTTTATTTTTTTTCCTTCAGAGCAGTGTAAATTGAAAGGGTTTTTTTTCTCCTGGTCTTGGTCTTCCCTTCCTCATATTTAAATTTAAAAATATCTTGCATCTCTACTGATATGCCTAAAATTCCTCTTTCATATTACAGAAAGGAACCAATACTGCCGTAAAATATAGATAGCCTAATGCTGAATTTAGAAAAAGTTTCATAGGAAGAAGTTAGTTATATAAATGATGTCCTTACCCACAATGTTTCCAGGCATAAAGACAATGATGCTCATGATAATGGAACCTAGCCAGTAGAGGCCAATGGTTCTATAGCTTTGTCTGTTTGAAAAAGAAAACAAGACATAATTATTGCACCGTCCCTAGAAATCCTCTACCCCAAATAAGGCCAAAGACATGAAACAGTCCTAAAAGAAAAACCCAAATACTGCGTAGGAAAGAAAGCCCTTTGTAGGTTATATGAGAACGCAAGCAAAGTAAACGGTACACACATCAAATGACTTACTCCCATGCAATAGCTGCCACCATCAATAGATACATCAGGTAATGAACGGAGCCATCCCAATAGCAGATCACATGGCCATACGCAGTGTTCAGATATGGTTCACCCTAGGGAACATTTATTTTAAAAAGATGCAGTGATTAGAGAAATAATAACAAATAATTAATAAAGAACAGCAGGAAACAGTTCAGAAAAGTAACGGATGTTCTTTCAGTCTGGAGGTATGGTTTTTGACTGACAACACACATTTCCAAGCACAAATCTGATTTAGGTAGGGTCAGGTATAATTAAATCAGTTCTATAGTCGCAAAATAGGGTGCAAGATGGAAGGGGAAACTCCTATGTGTGACTGTCAGCATTGTTCTACTGCATTATGGAAATACCACTTTTCCATATTTTAGTGATAAAAGCTACAAAATAAAGATACATTTAACATGGAACAAATAAAGATATATTTAGCAACCTAGAGATATACAACAGCATTGAATATATTTATGACAATGTATAACCTTGTAAGGTCCAACCCATTTCACGCTGAAGTTCATGGAATCTTTTCAATGACTTCAGTGACTTTGATATCAAGCTCTTACTGAGCTATTTTTGGTCGATGTTGATATTCAGCAGCCAACAGATTCTGCTGACTAGGTATCTGGCATCATCATTTTTTAACTCTACTTTAATTCCTTTCAGTAAAGTGATTAGGCAAAAATAGAGGAGCAATTTTGTTTCCTTCTTGGTAACACATTTGGGTACTGCAGTACTCATCCACTCCCGAGTGCCGAGTACCTATGGCTTTCTGCAAACGAGTGCAGCCTATTCAATTCCCACAGACATTAGTACAGAACAGTATTACTTACACTAAGTGAAAAAACATTGGTGCTTGAAAGGTATGCTGTTTTCCCCAAATGAGTCAGTCATTTCGAGTCAGTGAAGGTTTTGTCCATAATAATAATGAAACAGGTCAATGACCAAATTCAAGATGACCCTTTTGAATGTGTAAGTGGCTATTTTTCTGTGACAAATACTGTACAAGTTATTTATAGTAAAGATTTTATTTATATTTGTAAGGCCAAACAATTGTTTACCTCTCTCAAGTAATGAGTCATGAATCCATCAATAATTCCATCCTGTTCCAGTCCAATTATTAGATTCACTACACTAGTAAAGGCAAATACAGCATAAACTGTAGTAAGATAAAGGGGAAGAAAATAATAAATTAATAAATTAACATTGGAGTCACGCAGCTGTTACATAGTCTGATAAATTCAGTCAGGCAGAGATCTATTGAACTAGATGCATCTACTTTGAGGTCACGGGTATTAAACATACAATATGACTTCCCACATAGCTTAGTATTTTTTAATTAGTGGTTAGTCAACAAAGTTCTTGGGAATCTTTGTCTTAGGAATGTGAAATTCTGTAGAGCTGTAGGCACAGCCTCCATGGAAAGTCAGCGTCTGCAGAAAGGACTATGCAGCCTTTCCAAAATCTTGGTCACACAAAGTATAAAACCTTGACTGTAGTCATCTCTTGGAAAGGAGAAAGGACAGCAAAAAGGAGGTGGAGAGGGGAATGTGACTTGCCGGTTTTGGAGGTGAGCAAGGCAAACTGCATTAGCCACAGCAGTCCATAGGAGACCTATCTGGCAAGTTAGCGAGTCACTCCTTTGAGGCAGGAAATTTATTCGTGGTAAGTTTATGTTATTTATTTCCTTTGACTTCAGTGTGAACTGAGAGTTCCCGGCCTCACATAGAACACTGGAGACAGATGCCTATGAGTTGTAATGAGGAGGAATACAGAGGGCAAATAGAGGTGGTTTGTACCCTGCTTTGCCTATGGGCCCATCTTGTAAAATTTAAAAAAAAAAACAGCAGTGTTTTTTCTTCTAGATTTTTGCTGTAAGTTAATCTAGATCTAAGGTTTCCTTTTAAAAGGTAATCAATATCTCTATTCTTTTATGGCTAAGTAGCACTATAGAAATGCTTGCCAGACTCTTCAGACAGCCCGAGACAGGACTTTGGGTGGTTTGAACTGTCCTATATATCACGAAGGTGAGTTAACACAGAAGCCTAATAAAAATGGGAGAATTAAGGAATTCAATCACAGGAAGAACCAGGCCACGGAGGCCATTGATCCAAAAGATCCAGAAATCCCAAATGAGTCCACATAGGATGAGATGCATGCAAGAGGTCTACTGTGGTGCCTAAGTCCTGCTACAAGGGAGGATCTTAACAGAACAGGTATGACTTTATTTCAAACACTTTCACAGCCCAACTCGAGTGTTATTCTTTTCAAATTGGAGGCCTGGCTTGTCCCTAAGCTGGATCTCCTATTTCAGAAGAATAAAAAGGTTCGAAAGAAGCATTATTTCTCCTCCTTTTGCCCCAGTCTTTCTTTTGTTCTTGGCTCCTTTGCACCTCACTAGACTGGGTTCTGAAGCCATGCCTTCAATGTTCAATCTGAAATAACCGTCATAGAGTATCATTTATATAACTTAACACATTCTGAATTTAGCTTCACTGTTACCAAGACATACCATAAAACAGCGGGTCTTTTGGTGGTTTTCTTTTGACAAGAACACGAGCCAACAGAGCAATAAAAACCAGAACCAGCAATCCAACTGCAACAATTGCCCAGGAACTGTAACAGTATTAAAAAGAATGTAAAAGAAAGACAGAGAAAGAGACAGAATTTTGCTTCTTCAGCTTTTCTTACCAGCTATCCTCAAATGCACATGTTCTTAAACTAACTTTTAATACTTTAAAAGGCTGTTTCTAAAGTCCATCGTATAGTCTGTCACAGCATTCATTTTATAATTTTGCAGAATTTATGTGCCTTTCTTTTCACATGTGATCATCTAAAAAAAGAAAATACGAAAATAGCTAGATAAACAGCATATCCAGGAGTCTAGATTTGTCTGACTAAAATCCATTTTTATGCTGGTATCTGCAAAAATAAACAAAAATTATGGAAAACTTAAAGGCCAAGGAGAGGTGAAAGTTGCAAACACAGAGATTTCAAGGCCGAAAAAGACTATTAGGGACATTTAGTCTAACCTCAGCAATAAATCATCTACTCGAGAAATTACATATTCCCAAATAAAACACATCAGTTGCATGGAATAGGAGTAGCAATGTAGAGCGCCTATGATGGATCTAGGTGTAGTTTCCAGTTTTGGAAGAGCTACTAAAGGTCTCTCTGGCCCCATAAGGCAGGATCACTGGGGAGGGGTGGGGGGGGTGTCAGTAACCAACGCAGGTGGGCTCAGCAGAAAAGACCTTTTCTCTGAAGACAGGACTGTAATGTTAGGGCATGTAAAGTGGTGGTGGAGGAAAGCACAAAGATCTTCGGCACAAAGCAAATTTGTCTCCTTCCCAAGAAAACACAAGTTAAGAAAATCAGTTTGAAATTGGTTTATAGCTCTAAGTGCGTAAATTGTATTTAGTTCTCTTTAAGGCAGACTGTCCTTCTCAGTCTTCATTTTTGTGTTGGTGTACGGGGAAAAAAGGGAGGGGAAAGTTAAGTAAAGTCCAGAAGCATAAACTAAAAATATTTGGTAAGTGATTTTATACACAATACCACTCTGTGTGTCACGAAAACAAATTGTGTACAAACAAATAATACTATGACAATTTCAACCTTAGTGAAACTTGACTTAAAATTATTGCAAAAAATTTGCAGGATCGAATATACACACATACTTTCTGAGTCAGGATGAGCAGCACCAGCTTGTTGATTTATTTTATGGTTTGAATCTTCTGCTACTCTGTTTTCCCAGTGATGAATTTCTTGATGCCATTACAGCTGTTAATATTGCAGTGACTTTTCACTGCGGTCTATCAATTTGAAATAAATATTGGCAATGAATCAAGTAAGTCAGCATGTGTTATTCGGGTATTTCTCTAGCAGTGAGAAACAAAAAATTAAGTTATCGGCCAGAAGGAAGAAAAGGAGGAAGGAACAGATGTAGCAAAGCCTTAAAAACACACACCATATATTTGTGCAGTAAAGTTGCGAAACACCCCAGGCCGTGAGATCACAAAATACCACACGGACCTTTAAGTATATTGGGTTTTCCATGAGTAAAGACTTTTCTAGACCTGCGGTCTAGATCCTATTTTTTTGCCAGAGCGAGGGCATATGGGCATTTTCAGTTAAAACTCGCACTCGTCTTACGGGGTGCCTGAAGCGTGCGGCGCTTTCTGAGGCTGCCGAGTTCTTCCATTCCTTTTTAAACAGAATTGGATGCTGCGAGTGCCCCGGCCGGGGAGCGGGCGGGA